TTGTCAAATACTTCAAACTAAACTGATATTTCAGATTAGTGAGCAAATCATAGATAGCCATCAAACTACATTGAAAATATTGAAGAATTGACGAAACTGAAAGCAAAAGAACTGAAAGTCATCAGATTACTTACCGCATCAGACCTAAAAGCTCGATCTGGGTCTTCAGCTATGGGGGATTGCTATCAAGGTGCTTATGGTTCCTCCTTGTCAGAAAGAGAGGTGCAGAGCATGAGAGAGGAGATGGTGAGGTGAGAGAGAGAGGTAGAGGGGGTGAGTGAGACAAGAGATAGAGAGAGCGACGATGACAACGATGACGCCGTAGCGGTAGCCATCGCCGTAGATTTGGTGAGGACGATAGGAGCAGTGAGATCGAGAGAGAGGCGGCGAGTGTGAGTTAGGGCTGAAAGAGAGAGAGACGAATGAGAGTGAACGAGTTAAGTTAGGTTACTTTGTGAGAGTAATGATCCAGTGCAAGCAGACTCCGCATAAACTCTTCTTTAAGCCAATTAGACAATGACACATGGCAAATGCATATATAATTAAATATTATGCGGTTCGGTTCAGGTCCACCGGTTTAAAATTTTTTAGACCCGAAGCCTGAACCGAAGTCAACGGTTCGGGTCAGGTCCAGCGTTGACTTTTTCGGTTTGGTCAAAAAAACCTCCTTTTTCGGTTTGGTTTGGTTTGGTTTGGTTCGGTCGATTCATTCGGTTTATCGGTTTTTATGCCCACCCCTAGCCACCATCATCATATGCTTTACGATCTTCTTTTCCTTATTTGTTGCATCACCTCCTATTTCTATGTCCTTTCCTTCTTTCAACTGATCAGAAACCCATGTTGGAAAGTAGATTTGGCTAAATTGGCTTGAATGTTCTATACCCGCATTCATTGGCGGACCCATGAAATTTTTAATGGAGGTCTAATTTTTATCAGGATTTATTTATTTTTAAAAAAACAGTGCGTTGTGCACATTGGATGCTCTTAACAACTTTACATACAAAAGCTTCAACACTTCAAACAATTAGCCACATTTGACAACATTCAGCTATCTAACTATGATCAAATAAATAGATACACACAACATTTCCCATAAACAATGAAAATATTCACCAGAATAAATTTAAATGGTTAAATTTTTTTTTTTTTTTTTTTTTTTTTTTTTTTTTTTTTTTTGTTTCCATAGATGTATCATGAATAATGACCATTGGTGGAGCTATTAAGATGCAAGGAGATGTAGTTGCACCTTTTTCCTTGCCAGAAAATCCTTTGGGATGCCAAAATCTACCCCTCTGCTATAGTGCACACCATGTGTTCAACTAAATGCCTCAAAAAGACTCTGCCCACTGTCTAAAGGAATTAGTACCAATTAGTTTACGTTTCAATTATAGTGTATTTGGTTGTCTAATTTCTTTTGGGGTTCTTAGATCTAGGTCCAAAACGATTAGCTGTCATTGGGTTTAGTCCACGTGTTTTTTGTTTTAGATGTAGGTCCTTTGACTTTTATTACTCTTTTTATTGTGTCGATTTTACCCTTTGAGGTAAATAATGAAAACATTGAAAATCTAAATTTAATGAATTATATACCTGTAATTAAATTTCAGAATTTAAATTTGGAATTCTTTCATTGATAATATTTAACTAATATATGGGTAAAATACAAATTAATCAATGAATGTAAAGGCCCACATATTATACTAATCAATTAGGCAAGCACCCACATTGTATCTAACATACATGTAAATAGTGTTCTTATTAGCAACGAAAAAAACTTAGTGAGAAAATATGAAATAAATGTACATAAAATACTATTATTCATTGTCCAAAATATGAAAAAACACACACACACACATATATATATATATGCCTATGCAATATGCAATATGACAATATACCTACACCATAGGATAATTTATACAAAAGTACATACTATACCTCTACCATAGGGAGAACAACAATAAAAATAGTTACCTACAACTTTTCAAAGAAAATGGAAGGGGAAAGGAATCTTGTAATATGGAATGCCATGATCTTGGGCCACATTCAAAATCATTAGCATGAGGAGGCTTTAGAATTATATGTGGCAATGTACAGATTGTCAATTGACCGTACAAGATCAACATTCTCTATCATAGTATATATATATATATATATATATATATATAAAATTGAAGAAAAGAAGAAGATGGAGAACAAAGAAGATAAAGATGAAGAACAAGAAAGAAAAACGTGCATCTAGTTAATAAGCTAAATTCTAGGAAAAATTGTATCTTCAAAAGAATAAATAATCCTAAAAGTATGTGCAATAATAAAATCCATGTTAAATAGGAATTTGAGTCAAGATAAAAAAATGAAGGTTCGACATACATTCAAATTGTAATTATTCGTTAAATTGTACATGATCAAATCTAATCATTAATAGCATATAAATTCTCATCTTACTCATTTTAGACAATAGGGATATGATAGGAAGAAAAAATTTAAATACAAAAGTTTGAATCAACATGTCAAAAATGGAATATAATCTACGTGGCAAACTAGTCAAAAGACTTATAACAATAAACAATAATTCGAGAACTAGACCCAACTATTGATTGGAATTTTGGACTTCTATCAACTTTTCTATTTTCTTTTTGTGGCTTTTAGCCTTTTCAATATTGCCCTTCTCTTGAAAATTTACTTACTCCACCACAAATGATGACCTAAGACATGAATGATTCAAATAATGAGATGACCTTATAGAGTAAGCCCAAACACATAATTAACACCTTATTAACTTACTAATTGAATCCGCGCTTGACGCTGTTCTAGATATCCAAATAAATGAGTCTTGGTCAGCAGGGCAATAAACTAGTCTATTGGTTGTTTCAAGAAAATAGGACTATTTTCTCCACTAAACTAAGAAGTTTTCAGGTATTGTGCTCAAAACTGCTGAATTTTTAAACAAAGTTGTTATACTGCATGTGGGGATAGTCACTTTATATATTTCATGATAAAACTTCTTACTTTTTAACTTTCATTTAAACTATAAAAAAACCAACAACAAAAAGTAAGAAAATATAATAATAAGGTTTCACAGTGGTTATGTTCGCGGAAACAATAGGAAATATTAATTTACAAACACTACAATAACCATTTTCAATGACTAAACCCTTTAGTTACGCTGCAGTTACGATTTAGGAGTTCGTAATATATGAAGTCGTCACAATTGCCTTTTGTTACGATTTTTACCACCAATCGTGACAAATTTGGTTGACTCAAATTGCTTCAAAAGTACATTGGGGCCATAACATATCCAATCAACTTTATTCATTTACGTTTTTTTGTCTATTGAAATATTTTTTTATTATTTTTACTAGGCTCACAAAATTCAACAAATTTTTAAATATATTTTTGATTTCAGAGTATTACATTTTTCAGAAGAAAATAACCAATTTTTATTTGGAATATTTATGCCTTTTCTATTTGGTATACTCCTATAAATTCATCCATTACTACAACTTCATTGCCATTCAATACAATAGAAAATGATATTTTTTTATATTTCAATGGCTTAGAGTAAACAATTCAATAAAGATAAATTATTTGATTGCAATTTCATTACAATTCAATAATTAATTAATTACAATTTCTATTTTGTATTCTTTGAGTCTTTCTTGGTGACTCCCGCATATATCTTTTACATCATCTATATGAGTCGAATCGCACCGAACCAAATTGGAAAAAAACCGAGTTGACCAAAAAGTCAACAACTGGTCAAAAACCGAACCGGACCGGTTTGGACCGATTTTGGATCCGGTTCCATAGCTTCAAAAACCAGACCAGGCCGAACCGAACCGGTCAAATTAAAAAATATATAATTTCAATATATATTTATATTTAATGCTATATTTTTAATTTAACAAAAAAAAACTAATATTTATCCAAGTTCAATTTCAAAATATCTCTCTTTTCTAACTTTACTATTTATTTTTATATGAAATTGAATAATTTGTTAATTTTCAAGTAAAAATAATAACATCAGAGTTGCATCAAATTTCAGACTTCAGCACAAGAAATTAAGGAGGTTAGGGATTTGCACTAAGGTTTTTGAGTTTGAGTTTGAGTTTCACTTTGGTCCAAATCCAAGTCTGTAGCTTTGCTCTGGGTCTGTAAACTCTTACATATGGTTTAGTCATTGTCGGTAGAACCAGTGGCGGAGCCACCTAAGGACCAGGGTGGGCCCAGGCCCTCTCTCATTTCTTTTTATTTCCTCATATTTTTACTTATATGTTTGCTTCTTGGAGTAAAAACTCTTCTTTTTTTTTTTTCTCCTTCTCTTCCTCTTTTGTTTAATTTAAGCTTTGTGAATTCTCCTTCCCTCCATTTTACATGTCTAAGTAGGGTATCTTAATATTGGGATTTATGAACATTTTTTGTATTTCTTCTCTCTATTGAAGTATAAATTATTAAATTTTGAGTCTTTAATAGTGTAGATGATGAGATTAATATTCAAAAATATGAAATTCAGGACAATTATGATTGTAATAAATGGATCAATTATTAATCAAGTATGAAATGATATTATTAACTTATTAACCCGTTTAGCGCTTGAGGACCCTTATTCGAATTATTTTAAAAATTTTGTGAAAGGCCCCCTTTAATGTGAAATCCTGGCTCCACCACTGTGAGTCTGTAAACTCTTACATATGGTTTAGTCATTGTCGGTAGAACTGGATTCTAATTCAGATATGGAGATTATTTGACGTATAGGGTCGTGTTTTATTTTGAACCCTTGATTCAAGCATAATAAGCCCACTCGATAACATATCCATATACAAATGAATTGTTTCTCTTGGGCAATTCATTTGTGTAAACCTAATTGTCATCAAAGTTCAAGTCATTGCATTTCTGGCAGGCAGTTTCTCAAACAATAACCAAAGGCAGAGGCTGATTATTTGCTTAAATCAATTACAACATGTAAACATATTTGTGCTTTGATCAAATACAGAGTAGAGCTGCTAACTTTGCCTTACATTTGCATCCGCAATCAAAGTAATCTCTTCAGATTCTGAAGCACTTGATGCACAGGGACTTCGATTGTCCACACCAACTTCATCTGCAGGAATTTGTTGTGGGTATAAGAAAGGCCTTGGAGGCATTTGGAGGCTCTCAATTTCTCCTTCAAGCATCTCCACTACTTTATTCATTGAAGGGCGTTCGATAGGCTTCATTTGTATGCACCATAAAGCCACCATCATCATCTTTTTTATGATCTTCTTTTCCTCATCTGTTGCATCATCTCCTATTTCTATGTCCTTTCCTGCCTTCAACTGATCAGAAACCCATGTGGGAAAGTAGATTTGGCTAAATTGGCTTGATTGTTCTATTCCCGCATTCAGGTTTTTCCTTCTACCAGCCATTTCCATCAGTAGCATTCCGAAACTATACACATCAGCTTTGTACGAAACACCTCCAATGTTTTTGTAGAACAGTTCTGGAGCTATGTATCCCATAGTTCCTCTTGCTGCAGTCAAAGATACAATGCTATTATCCAATGGGTACAGCTTTGCTAACCCAAAATCAGAGACTCTGGGAGTAAAATTCTCATCTAGAAGAATATTGTGAGGCTTGATGTCAAAGTGCAAAATTTGCATGTCACAGCCTTGATGGAGGTATTTAATACCACGAGCCACTCCAAGTGCGATTTCAAATATTTTTTGGCAACTTAAAGACACATCTCCTTGTTGAGAAAAAATGTATTTCTCAAGAGACCCATTAGGCATGAAATCATATACAAGAGCCCGTTTTGAACCTTCAACACAGAAGCCAATAAGTCGCACCACGTTAACATGGCGAATCCTTCCAATTGTAGCAACTTCATTGATAAAGTCTTGGTCATTATTAGTTTTGGACTTGCCTAACATCTTGATGGCTACAAGGCGACCGCTGCGGAGCTTTGCCTTGTATACAGAGCCATAGCCTCCTTCCCCTAATTTGTCTTTGAAACCTCTGGCCATCTTTTTGATGTCCGAATAAGAGTACCTTATTGGCATGAAATTATTATTACTCCGTAGAAAGTCTTCTATATTCTCATACATTGACAAGTGCCTCCTTCGCCATTTATATATTAGCAGTGCAGTTACAAAGGGAAAACCAAATGTAAATTTGGCTGCTACGTATAGTGCTGCATGGTCCATAAAAAAGGAGTTAATAGGAAGGATAATAATTTACTATAACAATAATAATAACAATATACTCCTCTCCAAACCATCTCAACCATGCAATTGTTTTGTTCTCATAAATTTTTATTGTGCCTTTAAATCTGAATAATAATGTTTCCGTGAGATAAACGCAAGTATTCTCTTACCAGGGTAACCGATTGCAGAGAACACAAATATAAGGGCATCATCAAGGTCATTGTTGCCAGTATTCACTGATAAAAGCCGATCAAGGTGGAAGTACCTATAAATAGGGTACATAACTATTTCTGCAACAGTAGTGAAGACATCGATCAATAAAATGACTACGGTGTCAAGCCAAATGCCAAAGAAAATTTAACCACACATTTATAGAGTAGAGGGATCCACTCACCTAGATGATATATTATCTCGTCTATCGTGCGCCAACGTGCTACATTGAACAGAAAACTGTAACATTAGCTTAGTAACTGTTGGAAATTACTGTTTAACTTCCTGGGGTCACTTTGACTTCTTGGGGTAAAACTGATATTTGACCATAGTTTCAAAGGGCACTGTTGTAAATAAGCCTTCTTTAATATATAATTTATAATTTAAAGGTTTGGCAATTGTCTAACCTCGTCGTGAGCATTGAATTCCATTGCCGGTGCTGTTCAGCCAGCAAAATTCCCCTGATCCGCAACTTTCTGTACATGCATACTTAAGCCATGAGAGTTCAAAGCCATGCGCTATTTCATTATATATTCCTTTGCAAGACGTCATGTGCTCCTCAGTTGAAGGGGACACCATAACCATTAGTGTTATTTTGCAGGAATCCCCAAAATTGTATGACCCTGGGCCATTGGATTTTATGAAATAAGAATATGCTGTTAAATTGGAGAAAGAAGAATTGGAAGCAGAATAGTTGTTGACCCCACTGATGCATGGAGCTCTTTCAACAATGAGATCGGAAGCATTCATTGGATTTTCACAGCTCAGGAAGATTATAGACATTGATGATGCATCTGGGTAATCATAAGGACCTGTATCATCAGAGTAATAATAAGAAAAGTTGAAGGGGGTCAAGGAGTAGAGTGGGTGGGAGAAGTAGTTGTCCTTGATCTTGTGAACACCAGCATCCACAAGTCGGATTGTGAAGTTATTGTAATTGATTGCATGTACGTAGTACTTTCCTGAAAACAAGGATAGCACTGCATGAGGAGTAGTACCATTTCCCTTGGCCTCACAAGATAGCTCGAAGCTTTTGTTGCCGCAGTGTTCAGAGTCTCCTTTCAATCGGAATGGGGAGCTTATGTTAATATTTCCACAGGAACGATTGCAATCAGAGATATCATGTTTATTAGCTGTAATGGAAGCAGTTTGTGAACAAGCGGAAGGAAGAAGAAGAAGAAGATGAAGGAGGAGCGTTGTGTAAGCAACAAATAGGAGACTTCCTCTAGACATGATGTCAGAGCAGAAGAAAGAGATTTTCAATTTAGTACAGTTAATTTAAACCTTTAAAGAGATAATCAGATACAAAAAAATAAGAGGGTTGCATGAGTCATGAGACATGACCCGACCGCCATTGACTCAAACTTCTAGATGGAGTGGGGCCCATATCATCTTGAAGTACTGACCCCTGATTTTATATCATCTGCAAGCAATTCGATTCATTTGCTTAGAAAGGGTTCTCATCATGAATTTCTTATGGTGGTTGGCCGTGGTAGTAGTAATAGGACTAGGAGTCAATGGTGGAGTAGGCCAAGAAGATTGCAGAGAAACAAGATGTCGCCCGGACGGCCCAGCCATCCGATGCCCATTTCGACTTAAAGGTAGGCAGCCAATCCATTGTGGCTTCCAGGGCTTTGATCTTTCTTGCAATGAATACAAAGAGACTATACTCGAGATGGCATCATCAACTAAGCTCATTGTTTATGATATTAACTACACATCTCATGCGATTAGAGGAATTCCTTATTATGGTTGCTTGCCAAGGGAGTTGTTTTACAGTAATGGTTCTTCTCCCTTTGAATTAGTAGGCCGCGCAATCTTATTCAGTTGTCCACCCTCAACTGTAAGAGATGAATATTCTTCTGGATATGTTTGTCTGAAGAGATTGAGCCCATGCCATGGCAACAATTCTGGCAACCATATTTATGCTTTCATGAATGATGAGTGTGACCTTGGAGCAGTGCCCCTAGTGTCTTGTATCAAGGTGCATGACTATATATCACATTACCCTAAGGATTCAATGAATTCAAAGACGCTGCATTGGTCCATACCATCATGTGAACATAGCAAAGGTATTACGTACACTCCAGCTTTACTTTCCAACATAATCGCTTATGAGAATTTGAAGAATATAATTTTGGATTTCATTTATTTGAAAACCGGCCCTTATTTCATGAACAACTTTTACAGGTCGTAATCTTAGAAGGCCAAATCTGAAGATATTAGGTGAGCTATATCCACCTTCATTTCATTTCATTTCATTTTTTTCTTCTTCAATTTTCTTTTTTTATGAACATAATGGGGAATAAGTTAATCAAGGGTATGTTTGGAACAGAGTTTAAAATGACTAAAACGCTTTCAAAAAACGTTTGACACAAAAAGAAAATATTTGCAGGTATTTGTGCACTCTGTTTAGTTCTAATCGCGATGGTGACGACAATCTACCATGTGTATACGTCTAACAAAATGAAAAAAGAAAATCGACTTAGAATTGAAAGATTTTTGGATGATTATAGAGCGATGAAGCCAAGTAGATATTCCTATGCTGATATTAAAAGGATAACAAATCAATTCAAGGAAAAGTTGGGTCAAGGGGCCTATGGAACGGTGTTCAAAGGAACTCTTTCCTCTGAGTTACTTGTTGCTGTTAAAATGCTCAACAATTCAAATGAAGAAGGGGAAGATTTCATAAATGAAGTGGGGACTATGTGTCAAATCCACCATGTCAATGTGGTTCGCTTGGTTGGATTTTGTGCCGACGGATTTATTCGTGCTCTTGTTTACGAATACTTACCAAATGGTTCATTGCAAAATTTCTTATCTTCAACAGATAATAAGAATTCATTCCTTGGTTGGGACAAGTTACAAGATATCGCTTTAGGAATAGCCAGAGGAATTGAATATCTTCACCAAGGATGCGACCAACGAATCCTGCACTTCGATATCAAACCACATAATGTATTGCTAGACCAAGATTTCACTCCAAAAGTTTCTGATTTCGGTTTAGCCAAGTTTTGTGCTAAGGATCAAAGCGCAATATCGATGACTACTGCAAGGGGGACCATGGGCTACATTGCACCCGAAATCTTCTCAAGGAACTTCGGCAATGTCTCCTATAAGTCGGATGTCTATAGTTTTGGAATATTGTTACTTGAAATGGTTGGAGGCAGAAAAAACTTTAAACTCATGGAGGACTCCACTAGCCAAGTCTACTTCCCTGAATGGATCTATAACCTATTAGAGCAGGGCAACGACCTACGAATCCATATTGGGAACAATGAAGGAGATGTTACAATTGCTAGGAAACTTGCAATTGTGGGTCTATGGTGCATACAGTGGCATCCAATAGATCGTCCTTGCATGAAAGTTGTAGTTCAAATGTTGGAAAGAGAATGTGAGAATCTAACCATGCCTCCTAATCCTTTTGCCAACACTTCAGGTTGAAGGAAAATTAATGAACAGACATCTATGGTGAAGAAACAATTCAGCCTGAGTGGATTATACCACTCACTTCTGAGATGAGTCATGGAGTGTTATTATAATAAGATTGTTATAGTATTGTCGAGTATTGTCGTGTTAAGCAGATAGTATAATCAAGAAACTGGTTTCAGGTCAACAAATTTCAATGTGAAGTATTTTTTTTTTGGTCGAACAAGGTGAAGTATTAGGTGGTAATAATTCATCAAAACTTACTGTTCATGTTATAATTAAGTAACATGATCTCTTTTTCGCTATTTCATTCATCTGCAAATCAAAAGTCAGGTGTTTATTTTGAAAGTTAAAAAAAAAAAAAAAAAAAAAAAAAAAAAAAAAAAAAAAAAAAAAAAAAAATAGATATACAAACACACCAGTGAATAGAATTGTTTTAGACTAGTATTTATATTTGTTGATACACCCGATGATGAAGGAGGGTCTTGAGGGGTGGAAGTAAACAATAGAGGCACAAGTTCCTTGCAATAGTTTTATTTTCTTTCCCAACACCTAAGTGTAATATTTTAGTATTTTAACCCTATTGTCATTATTTGAGGTGAACCTCTCTAATTAATTATTCTTAAGTTTTTAGGTCATTCTTCTAAATTCTAATCATGTGATGACATTGTGAAGTAAACCCACCGCATGCACATGCCACGCTAAATAAATAAATTTGCTAGGGGTTGAGATAAAATATACCGGGTCTACAAGCCCATGCAAAAATTAAACATCGTAGCCCTTCTCAGGAACGATAAATTAAAACATGTCAAGGGACATGCCATGCCAAGCACGAAAACATGATCTCTTTTTCGCTATTTCATTCATCTGCAAATCAAAAGTCAGGTGTATTTTGAGTTACATAGAAGAAAAAAAAAAAAAAAGGTTGAGCATATAGATACCAAAGTGAATAGAATTGTTTTAGACTAGTATTTATATTACAAATTTATAAATAAACCCAATCCTAGACATGTATTTATAAATAAACCCAAGCACTATTTAAACATAGAAATACACCCAAAATCAACCCCAAAGTCAACTTTTTGGGTGTGTTTATAAATGGGTTTTGAGTGTATGTAATGATGGGTTTTGGGTGTGTTTATATGTTTAAATAGTGCTTGGGTTTTTTTTATAATTTCAACCCTACACCATTAAATTTCTATAAACAAACCCAAAAAATGGCAGCTGGCCTTATTGAATTTAATATTGATTATTAAATTACTTTGATGCCCTATTGAGTGTTTTGGGTATTTTTATGAGATTTTGGGGTTGGACTTGTTTTAAGAAATTGATGACAATTTTATAATTTATAAGAAGTTAAAAGCCTCTTTATTATGATGTAAATGGGTTTTGGGTGTGTTTCTAAAGTCCATTTCATATAGGGTATTTTTATAATTTGGGCTCTTATATTGGGTATAATAGCGAATCTCCCTATTTATATTTGTTGATACACCCGATGATGAAGGAGGGTCTTGAGGGGTGGAAGTAAACAATAGAGGTACAAGTTCCTTGCAATAATTTTATTTTTTTTTCACAACACCTAAGTGTAATATTTTAGTATTTTAACCCTATTGTCATTATTTGAGGTCATTCTTCTAAATTCTAATCATGTGATGACATTGTGAAGTAAACCCAAATATATACTTAGCCCTTTAGTACTAGACTGGTCCTTTAGTTTAGATATCCAAATAGATAATTCTTGGTGATCGATTCCCATCAACGGGACAATAAACTAAACTAGAAGGTGCAGAAGAATCCAAACAGAGCTGTTATAGACAATACAATAACATTGTTTTAAGGTAATAAACTAGTCTATTCATTGGACGTATTGTTTTCAAAACTGCTGCATAATATTCAAACAGAGCAGTTATAGAGGTAATTTGTCTACTTATCGATGTCCACATGCTGAGATACCCCAAGGAAATTTCCCTTCAGGTCAAGAAGACTAATGAAATTTCCAAAAGGTTTGAGGGCATATAATATATAGTGAAACACTTGACCATGTATTTTAAGTCTCTAGTCTAAGAAAGAATCCAAGTCAACCAGCACATATATTTTTTAATGATACTACGTGTTACCCTACTTTTTTGTCTCTTTTATTTTAATTATATGAAAAAATAAAAACAAAAAAGTAAGAAAAGACTAATGTTGGATGGTCTTTTAAGTTAACAAATTTTAACTATTGTAGGTTACGCAAAACACAAGGGTTGAGTTTTCCAAGATTCTGGAAGAAAATTAAAATATGCCACTTTGTACATACTCTTGCTTGGACGTCGATAAGTACAATTCTTTTGTTTATTGTTTATTGTTTATTTTTTCATATGAATTTTAATTTTGAAGTAAGTACGTGTTGACGTGTATGTCTATATATCTTGCAAAATTCATACATGTACTATAGTTACGACGTTTTATGTAAACTTTTGGCATTACTATGTTGTGAAAATAATTGCTATTAGATTTGCTGTGGGAGAAATCGACTCTGAGAGAAAGCAATTTGGCATTTGGTACACTTTTTGTTAAAAATGTTGTTGGTACTGATTCCTTCATAATCAGAAAATGATTGCTGCATAATCATTAAACACAATGCGTCTTCGAAACTGATTCCTGCATAACCAGAAAATGAAAGCACCTCATTAGCTGCTTTTCCTTATGGCTTTCTTTCACATCAATTTTTAACAATAAATGATTTTATCATAATTTACCAAACGAGCTGGGCTTATCAAAATTCTTTAAAAATCACTTATTACCCCAAATAAGTAATGCCAAATGGGCACTAAATTTTTTGTTGAAATTGATTATATGCATTTTGATCTCGCTCTCTTTTCAATACACGTATGTCATGGTGAAAGACCTAGCTAGGTTGGGTGTGGCTATGCACACCTGTTCTCGGGATGAAGCAGAGCTTGACAAGTGCTTACGAGAATGGGAGTTCAGGGATTTTTGAACGCTGGGCGTTGTAAATAGCCCCCAGTTTATTTCGTGCTCTAGCTGCTTGTATAATTGTCACAAAGAAGAGAACTTTTTAATATGAAGGATTTTTGAACTTCTTTTATGTGTACTTTTAACTCGTCAAGTTTTGGCTTTTGGACTTTTATGGAGGGCCATTGACTGGTGAGGAGAGACATAGGCTGGGACATGAATAAAATGCAATGGAATTGGAGTGGGGTTCATATTTCCTTCGCATGAATGAAATATATGGAATTAGTGTTATTTTCCTTAGTTGATAAGTTTTAGAATTTCTGATCTCAAGTTATGTTAAACTTTCATAAAAGGGACCAAGAAGCTTAAGGGACCATGTAATGACTCTAGTCCATTAGGACTTGGGATTAAGTCGTAGTTAGAAAATAGGAGGGAAAGGAATTTCCAATTTACATTATATAGAAACAATTGCTGCTTCCACATTGTTGGTATGATTGAAACTTGTATGGCTTCAATCTTTGCTTTTCTTTGGTCCTTTTCCGTATACTATTTTATCATTATTTCATTAGTTTGGCATGAGTTTGGCCAAAGTCAATGACCTTCAGTGATAAAGGATTAGGGCATGTGCCAAAGAAATTCAAAGGAGAGTGTGTTACTGCTACTAGTGAGAATTTTTATTTTTATTCTTTATTTAACATATAATATCATTAGTCATTTGGCTTTGTGTGGGGTACATACATTTTAAAGAGAGAGGTATTTTACCTGCGCGTTCTCAAGAAGACCTGAAAGCAGCATTCGAACTCCTCAACTTTTGGTTGGAAGTGGACTTTGAAGACTACCGTTAGAGCATCCACAATGGGCTCTCTAAACCACTTTCTTAGACAAATTTTAGGGAGGAAACGTAAAAATGCAACTCCAACCATGCTCCCTATCCACCTCCTAAAATAGGGAGTCTTCTAGGAGCTCCTAAATCTGAGAATAGAGAAAAGACTCCTAGTGGTTCCCTATAATTTAATGTTGCTTTATTTAATGAGTATTTCAAACCTTTATTTAATGCTAATAATTATTTTATTTTATTTTATTTTTAATAAATATGGACCAATCAAAAAAGAGTTATAGCATTTATAACTCTCCAAATTAGGAAGTATGGTTGGAGTTGAATTTTTTTCTAGAGCTCCTAAAATAGCTTTATTGTATTTGTAGCTAAATTTTAACTAAAAAATAGAGAGCATCATTGTGGATGCTCTTATGAGATACACATTAGAAATTAGAATTGTAATGAATATTTTGAATTTATTACATTCGTTTTTTCTGCTTATGTGACTTTATTAATGATGATAATAAGAGTTTTTGAATAATAATTGACCATCAAAGTTATTATTATTATTATTATTTTGACAAAATATTTATGTTTTCTGACAACATATTTATGTCTGAACTGCATAATTTGGACAAAATAATGTACTTGAAAATAGTGTAAATACATCCTTGGAAATACAAAGTTTGTTGTTTGTGTAATATTTGCAATAACGAATTATCTTTTCCAACGACTCTCTTAGGTCACAAATACAAAGTCATCCTTGTTTTAAAAAGGTGTTTCCGACAACTATTTCATCAATTCCGAGAGCATAATGTTGTTGGAAATGGTATCTTTTTCGACAGAATTACTTGTATCGTTTTTAATTCTAGTCATTGTGACTCTCTCTCTTTTTGCTTGTATTTAAGGCAGGGCTCATGGAGAAAAGACAGAGGTTGTCTTAGGTTGTGTTGCTAATATGATCTTCAAAGTGCTAGATAGCTTGGTTTAGTTTGAGTGTTTTTACTTTTAAATCTAATTTTATTGTGATTTAAATATCATTTTACAATGGATAGATTGACAAGTTGTAATTTTGTATTTTCAATCATTGTATCTAATTATATTTGGTGGATGTACAATTTGTTTTGTTACACTCAGAGTCATTATTCTATACGGGCACAGTCATCCCGTTTTTGCATCATGGTACGTGGAATCTATTTACAATTACCCAGTTATTATGAGTAAATTGCATGTCAGTTCA